CATGAAATTGTTATATTATTTATTATACCTACTTATTTCCACAGCAGTTGGGGTGCTGTGTGTTGTTGCCTGTTCCTGCCACAAGGTGGAGTCTGGGGTTTGTGAATCAGTGCCATAATACCAGACTGTATAGAGATTTCTTTTTTATTTTGAATAAAAATGAAATCTCACGTTTCCAGAGGATGGTTTCACTTCAGATTGATAGTAGACCACCTCAGAATGTCACACACCAAAATTTGATTCTGATGTAGAATAAGAAAAAAATAAGAGCCTTCTTAAAAAGTCAAATATGAGAAAACACCTCATATTTGACTTTTCTTATTTTAAAAAAGCTATTTTCTAGAAAATGCACTTGCATTAATTCCACTGCCACTGTAGCTGCTCAATAATGAAGCCCGCTCTTCTGCAGCTTCTCTTTCATCTTCAGTTCCTCCAGACATTTCCCCACTACTTTCTGTTTAACATAGCCTATCTCACCAGAAAATGGTGGCAGCCGGGATATCTTTAAATTATTGTGTAACTGTTTTTTTCTCTCCAATTTTATTTTAATTCGTGAACATGAATGTAAATAAAAAAAAACCAAATATACAAAGTCGTGAGTACATTCAAGTTATAGAGAGGATTTTAAGGCTTCATAAACATTCAAAGTCCTGATGGCTTTCATATTGGTCAGTTCATATTTTAACTGGTGTATATTGGGTTTCCTTTCCGTCCACTTGCTTTTGTGGATATGAAACTTTCCATCTAAAATACGATGGTTTAAAAATAAAAGATGTCTTCTGTCCATATTGTTTTTCTCCAAATAAAAAGTAATGTCCTTTTTTTTTCTTTTTTCTTTTTTTTTAGCAAATTAATCTTAACCCCACAGAAAGAATCAAATTGTCAACATCAATCCAAAATAATTGAACATAAATACATTCGTAAAATAAATGAACAGTAGTTTCTGTGTCAGTTTGCAGAATACACAGGATTCAGACAGAAGGTCTGTACATTTTAAGAGTTTCTTTTGTTGGATAAATTAAATGTATATCTTTAAAATAAAAATCACCACCTTTATTATTGACTATATATTTTTTGTAGTAAGTCAAACCACTTTCCAGTTAATGTAACTGTATAACTGAGGTTGTCTGGAATATTTCAATATCAATGTGCTGTTGATTAAAAGCCGAATCTCTCAAAAATACTTTGGTTGATCTGCTGTTTATTTATGATATGCAGTAGGTCACAAAGTGATATGAACTTTTTGATTTATACAACGGAGAGAAGGAACAATATAACCCTGTCTGCACGGACGAATGGGCCACATGATGGGGTCAAACGCATCATGTGCATAATTAACCACAAAACAAGCAAATACTTCATCTTAATGACATATAACACCCATTATGCTTCAGCTGAATCTTCTAAGCAAATTCGTACTCGTACTCGTACTCGTACTCGTTGTCCTCCGTTTATCCGGGTCCGGGTCGCGGGGGCAGCAGCCTCAGCAAAGAAGCCCAGACAGTCCTCTCCCCCGCCACTTCTGTCAGCTCTTCCGCGGGAACCCCGAGGCGTTCCCAGGCCAGCCGAGTGATGTAGTCCCTCCAGCGTGTTCTGGGGCGGCCCCGAGGTCTCCTCCCGGTTGGACATGCCCGAAACACCTCCCAAGGGAGGCGTCCGGAAGGCATCCTTACCAGATGCCCGAACCACCTCAGCTGGCTCCTCTCGATGTGGAGGAGCAGCGGCTCTACTCCGAGTCCCTCCCGGATGTCTGAGCTCCTCACCCTATCCCTAAGGCTGAGCCCAGCCACCCTGCGGAGGAGACTCATTTCGGCTGCTTGTACTCACGATCTCATTCTTTCGGTCACTACACAGAGCTCGTGACCATAGGTGAGGTTTGGAACGTAGATCGACCGGTAAATTGAGAGCTTCGCTTTCTGGCTAAGCTCCCTCTTCACCACAACGGACCGGTTAAGCGCCTGCATCACTGCTGACGCCGCAGCGTCTAAGCAAATTGACATGTTGAATTGAAATTAGTTTATCACGTTAAATGTCCGCAATTGTATGAAATTGCTCCAATGCGTTAACTAATCTTTGCATTTGCATTTCAGCACCACGGACAGCGCGCGTACAAAGACTTGACAAGCGTCTCCTTTAAATGTGTTTGCTGCTAGAGAAATTATACATAATAAATGAAGACAGTGACATTTTCAATAAAAAATGAGTTGAACGTTCATTTCAAGCTTTTGTATTACAACGAATTTCAGAATTGTGCCAGTGACAGAGAGCAGGCGGCAGTGTTTGATGCAGGAAACTCGATATGGACTTGAAAATCAATTTCGGAGTGGGGATTTCGGAATGGAGGGCTGTCCCCTGTTGGAACATTGTGCACGCACAGCCCTTCACCACCTGGATCCTAAAATAAACACCTGTTTTATTACATAATCATGCTTCCGTGTTGCGCCATTCAAATAACAAGAATTGCGGTTTAATACTCTTAATTATAACAGCCAGCTTATTGAAAAATGTCGGGTTTAAATCGGGCTCGGGCCCATAATTACAGTTAATTGGACAGCCAGGCCGGGCCGGTCCCGGACATAACGTGTCTGAAAAGCTGTTTCCATAAACAGTCAAATTCGCAAAAGGGCAAAATGCGAAAAAAATGTAAACATACAGATGGAGGTTTGCAGCATTTAGGATCCAATTCAGTAATAGGCTATATATTCACAATTAGGCTGTTGTAGCCTATATATTATCTTAGTTAAATATTTTTAAACCACAGCCAGACATCGAGGGTGGTCAGTAGCTCTGATTTGTAAGGATAAAATAAAGATTAAAAAAAATCACACGTGTATATACATGCGTATGTCTGTAGCGACTTGATTCATTTATTCATTCCACTTCTTGTGAAGCACACACACACGCCTGCCTGCACGTGTAAACTTTGGAGACAAACAGTTTGCCAAAATAGGCTAATGTGACGCGTTCAGGTGTTAATGATGTGTACATGCACTATGTGTGTGCGGGATTCACTCGCACATGCAGGTGTAGTGTATGTGTAGCGTTTGTAACGCGCTGTGCACGCGTACTGATAAGATGTGTGAGCGCGTCATGTGAGTGGAGCGCACAACGCCTGCGCGTCATGTAGCGGGCGTGTGTGTAACACTCGTGTCTCCATAGTAACCTTATGTAAAATGTAGGCGTGCGCTCAAGCGGTTTTGACCCCTCATACACACACACACACACACCTGAGGAAGCAGATGAGCTCTGTTTCTGTTCAATGTTCATAAATGATACCAACTGATGTTTTCTTCCCACCTAACATTGAATGTTGCTTATAATAAATGATTGATATTCAAGGTAAATATTCAGATGCCTTGGCGTCTCATAGGATGTAGCCATCATGTCATATCTGAGGTCACACAGCAGACTGTGTCACTGAATGCATAGTCATAACTGACTTCATGTTGATCCTTACAGATAACCATCTGCTGGCAGCTAAAGTGTCAGTGACGATCAACATCCTGGATGTCAATGAGTTCCCTCCTGAGCTGGCGCTTCCTTCAGATACCTTTGTGTGTGAGAACGCCAGAGTGGGACAGGTAAACTCTACTCCATCTGCCTCAAATGATTGCTGATTGTTGTGGAGAAAAGGAGCAACACTAAAAACGAATTTCCTCATGTTATAGTCGTTATAGTCATACTTTTCTATGATCAATTTTAATTTTTAATTTTTTAAATATTTCTATTCTGATAAAGACTTCATATAATTGAATTACATATTAAACAATACATTCTCACTCCAATCTTGTCACATGTCGACGTTTGGTGATGGACTTTCAATGTCGACATATGATGTGCAAGGTACCCTGGGTGCGTTGGTTGACGTTCTGGGACTCAGTGACTCGTTGAAGCACTACCTTTTATCGAATGGGCTTCCTGATTCAGTGAGCTGAACAGATTATCTCTCTGTTGGCTTCCTGACCAGGTGATCCAGACAGTCAGTGCTGCGGACAAAGACCTTCCTCCTGTCGGCCAGAGGTTCTTCTTTAAGTCCCCTAAAGAGCTCCGCAACAGAAACTTCACTGTTAGAGATTTTGGAAGTAAGTAAGAGGGGGGATAAAAGAGAAGAAGAAGATGGTTACAAACTCTTTTAATGTATTATGACTACCTTAGTATCCAGCTACAACAGCAGCTGTTTTCAAAGAAAAGGCTCTAATAAGCTACTGCACACTACCTGCTCAACAGCTAACAGCAGACAGACACAGATTAAGACTAGCTGCTGAACATCATATGTGTATAATAATAGCAGAAATATGACTAATCGTAAAAGCAGTCGTAGTGGCTCAGGGAGAAAACCAAGTTAGTGACAAGCATTAATGGGATATGAATGTTTGCCAGTGGGAAGAGAAAGAAGGAGACAGGAGCTCAGTGAATCATGAGAAGTTTGTTTGCAGTGTTGTTTAAGTTACTCTCAAAATGTAATATATTACATACTATCAGTTACCTTCACTTGAATGTAATAAGTCACTTTACAATATTACTCTCTGTGTAGAGTACTAGGTTACTTTTTAAACTACGTTTGCATTACTTTCCTCAGAAGAACTAATGTCGATTTTAAATGGATGAGGGTCATGTTGTTTCAGGGCAGGTAATCAGAGCACAGAAGCTTCAGTTTAATACAGTCAATTTCATTTCCAGTGCTGTGCAGGTCTGACCCATTCATGCATTCACATACAATAGCCCCTTTTCCACCGCAGGAACTTTTTTCATTTAACCGGGATATTGAAAAGCCTCGGCGTGTTTCCACCAAAATTACCCAGGGAAAAAACTCCCTCAAACCCAAACTTTCCCTGAAGGGGGTAGGACTTTTCAGATTACCCGTTCCTGTTACCCGTTCTACACTTCTGGCACGGGCAGCCACTGCAAATTTCATTTCTACAAGCTCCACTTCATTTGTGTTTTGATTAAGGATGGGTACCGCTCCACGCTCAGTATTTGGTCCGGATGGGGACTTGAACAGGCACCCCTTCGGTTCCCAACCCAAGTCCCTATGGACTGAGCTACTTTTTGCTAAAACTGGTTAAAGGAAAAAATGGGTTTCTAGAGTCCTTACAATAGAAAATCTCTCCCTCCTCTCTCTCACAAAAGACCATTATTGTTGTACTAAACCTACTAGTACAAAGTAGTCTGCCATAGAAAAACTATCACCTCACTGTATAGGATTATGTACAGCTACCCAGTTGCTCACTTAGTAGAGTGGGTGCCCCATGTACAAAGGCTATACCCATGCTGCAGCGGCTGCAGGCTAAATTCCAAAGCTACGCTGTCCAATAAAGGCAAAAAGCCAAAATTAATTAATTAATTAGATAATAAAAAAATATTTTGCTGCATTTTGCTAAGGGTCAGGGATTAATAACACATTATCAGATCTATATCCAATAGTTGCATTGTTGCATTGGTTCATAATTCTTTCCAGTCCCTTATCAAAATAATTTTGGTATTAGAGATTTTATTGCTGAAACAAAAAGAAAACACTTGCTGCTATTTAACATTTTATCTTATACCCATTGTTCTCCCTGCTAAATAAAGAGTGCTTCTGTCTCTGTTGCCTCTGAATGTTGCTTTGGGGTGTTCGGCTTTTACAAATCCTCCCCTGACGTTTTGAAGGCCCAGTCCTGTTCATGGTTTTAAATCAAGCTAACCTGTCAGCACACTGGGTCCACCATTTTCCTAAGAGGAAAAGGAACACTGCTATCTTTCGTGCCTGGGTGCGTTTTATGCAGGTGAAGAGACGGGACTTGGGCATCTGTTATGAAAAACGCGGTCGTATGTGGCGCTCATTTTAGACTGGAGGATTATTATCCCAGCGATATGATGGAGTTCATTATGGGATGCTGATGCCAGGAGCGGGTGAGACTCAGTGCTGGCGCAGTTTCTTCAGTGCACACATCGGCTTTATCAAGTCCACCATCAGCAGCAGCTTAATGGTCATAGATCTGTCAGAGATTCAGCTCGATGAAAATGTGAGCTGTGCACTGTAAGTATTGTTTTTTAATGTTTGCTAACTTCCAAATTAGTCGAAATAATGATTTTAAATAATGAGACACAACGTGTGATACGTGTTGATTGTTGTAAGGCAACCTAGCTAGCTTGTAAACCCAACATTACTCTTAAATCTACAATTAGCTGCACATGCCACATAGCCATTTACATTATGTAGGAGGGCAAAATATTAGAAAAACCTCTTAGTATAATGCAGGCTGGTACAACTCCAACACTAACTATGACCTCCATAATTAACATACAATTGAACTAACACAGCTTAGACCGAATGTCAACAAACACTGAACATTTTAAGCTTCATAAATGCAGATTTTGTGACAGAGGTGTTGTATTAGATGGCATCAGATTGTACAGGTGTACCTATTAGAGTGGCCACTGAATGTATGATGTTGCACAATTATATAAGGTAGACCTCTTTTTTTATCCTAGCTCTCCAGGTTCAGCCCAAGATGGTCAGTGTGGGGACTCAGACAGAAAAGTTTGAGAAATGAACATCAACTCCACTGGCCAGTCCTGTACACAAGCGATGATGAATCCTCCTCTGTTTTCATGGACAAAGCTGGTGATATCTCATGGATCGCAGAGGAGGAAATGAGTGAGTCATCTGACGAGGAACTGTCAAAAGAGCCACCTCAAGAATCTCCCCCTGACCTCAAGTAAGACTTCTTCTTTTAATTTAGATTAGATAGATTATGTGTCACCAAATTGTGTCATAGTCAGAAAAAATAACTTTTTCTTTGTTTAGTGCTGCTGACAAGTTCATTGTGTGCCAAAGCCAGCTGATGTCCTTGTTTAACATTTGCCCTGCCTGTTGTGGAGAAACCCAGGGAAACATAGAGCAGCAGGAGGGAACTTACGTAAAAATAAAGCAAGTAAGAGGATATTTGTGAATTCTGAAAGAGAAAGGAAGTTCATAACCTGTGTGTTAATTTTTATTGATTTTCTTTGTTTTGTTTTGTTTTGTTTTGATCTATTTATATACTTTGTTATATTTATGGTATAGACTGGTAATTTTTTGCCTGTCATATACATCTCTTAGGTCTGTACAACATGTAGGCATGAGCGTTATTGGCAGAACCAGCCAATGCTGCACCGAAACATGCCTGCATGCAACCTCTTATTGAGTGGTGCCATCCACTTCTCGGGTTGCATGGCTACCCAGACCATACGAATGCTGAAGCTGTTTGGGCTTCAGTGCATCAGTGCCAGCCCCTTCTTCCGCCATCAGTGACTATACATAATTCCTACCATTGTGCAGGCCTGGCAGAATGAACAGGCAGGCATCATCAGAGATCTGAATGAGATGGGGGATGGGCTGATCCTCTCTGGTGACCGCAGGTAGTCCACTTCGGCTTGTACCATTGATACAGAAAGCAGGTCAAAACAACATGATATAGTTTAATATATCACTTTTTGTGCTTTGATGTCTGACCACAGATGTAAATTAGCTATATAGCTAACTCTGGCCCAATATTTGTGTTGTGCATGTATGGAGATATTTTTGTGTCTTTTTGTTGCAATCATATAAAACTGTTTTGAGAGCATATTTTTTGAACTGCAATCAAAAATCAAGTTTGTAAGTAAAAACATATGATCATTTTGCTTATAAATCAGTACTCTTTGCTTGCAAGTTAAAACGTTTTATTTGCAAATCAGTCTTCTTTGCTTGCAAGTTAAAAAGTTTTGCTTGCAGATCAGTTGTCTTTGCTTGCGAGTTAAAAACTTTTGCTTGCAGATCAGTCCTCTTTGCTTGCAAGTTAAAGTTTTGCTTTCAAGTTCAACTGCACTTAATGGGCGCGGCCTATGCTGATGGATGAGAGAAGAGTTTCTATTGGTGGGTTTGACGTGGCTCCAGAGCGGGCTACACCCCTGATTCCCTCCCTCCCACTGGAAACACTCGACAGTCGGCATTACTGCTACACCCCGGGGCATCAACGGTACTGACCGTTACGCCGTCAAATAGTTCTGCCCTGGCTAAACAAAAGCAATCTACATGCACCAGTTCAAATAAAACATTCTTGCTGTTATTAGTAATGTAAAAACATACCTGCTCATTGATTTTCGCCACAACTCCCGCATGGAATTCACTGTGAACTACAGAACTCCCATGTTGCTTTGCAACCTGTCATTCCGATCAAGGCTGGCCAATAGAGACGTGTCTTACAGCTTTCAGTTTAGGCCCCACCCACCAGGTTCAACTTTTTACTCGCAAAACTTTTTGACTTGCAAACGGACAAAAATGACTCGCAAACAAAACTTTAGGATTTGCATTTTTTAATCAATAATTTTTTACTTGCAATAAAACATTTTTTGATTGCAATATTGATACTTTTGCTCTCAAATCTTTTTTTGATTGCAAAACCTACTCTGTTTGATTGAATAATAAAGAAACAAATGTAGCTCCATATGCATGGCCCCTGTTAAATAAACTAAACTGTTTTTGACATTGATAGGTCAGACTCTCCTGGCCATTGTGCCAAATACGGCACCTACTCTTTGATTGAGGACAGAATAAACAAGGTTTTGGATCTTCAAGTTGTCCAGGTAAGTTAACGTTATTAGACACACAAATCAGTTGTCTAATAACACAGTAGTGATATGACCAAATGTTTTTTTACAGAGCTCAGAGGTCCCAAGTAGCACCTGGTGTGAAGTAGAAGGTCTGAAGCGCAGCATAGAATTTCTTAAGGAGCAACAGGTGCAAGTGTCAGCCCTCATCACAGACAGAAATTGTCAGGTAAAGACACGCAACAACAGATATGTACACACAAAGTCTTGGCACTGACAATATTTACAGCTAAAACTACATTTTCTTATGATTAATGTGTCCCGCCCTTTAGGTTGCTAAGTGGGTGTGGGAGGAGTTTTGTCCAAAAGCAACAAGCCATTTCTTTGACATTTGGCATTTTGGTAAAAGTATGTATCTTGATAAAGGTAATTTTGTTTCGGTTGGCTGTTGTTTATAATTACATTTTCTTTTTTAACATTGTGTGTTTCTATTCTGAAACAGGTCTAGGGAAAGCTCTGGATGCTGCTGCATCAGTAGCAGTGCAGCAGTAGCTCAGTCCATAGGGACTCCAAAGTCGCCTGCTCAAGTCCCCGTCCAGACCAAATGTGGAGCGTGGACTGGTGGCTGGAGAGGTGCCAGTTCACCTCCTGGGCACTGCCGAGGTGGCCTTGAGCAAGGCACCGAACCCCCCAACTGCTCGGGGCGCCTGACCAAGGCAGCCCCCTCACTCTGACATCTCTCCACTTTGTGCATGTATAGGTACTGTTTGTGCATGTGTGTGTCTTTCAGACCTGTGTGTTAACAGCAAAAGAATGAAAACATTGAATTTTCCCCCAGGGGGATTAATAAAGTATATAAAATATAAAATTATTATATTATTATTATAAAATGATTAAAAAAATTTAAATTAGAGGGAGTGTGAGGACCTGAAGCTGTGGAGGCCAGCTGTTATTAACCACCTCTACTGGACTGCAGGTTCCACTCATGATGGAGATCCAGATGTGATGGAGGCCAAGTGGAAAAGCATGGTCAACCATGTTCAGGACATTCATGAACATGACACTCCTGAGAGGAGAGAAACTCAGTACGACCATAAATGACAGCAAAATGCAGTAGACGGTCACACTAAGCTGAAATGAAATAAGTTCACATAAATTAGGTAAGTAACATAAATAAACAGGCCCTATTGCGTTTTGCTGTCATTATGGTCGAGCTGAGTTTCTCTCCTCTTCTCTGTTTCACCCCGGGCAGAGCTGAGCGCTCCATATGTGCTCCACTGAGCAAAGCAGAGGAGAGACAATGAACCAGGTTGAGTTGACAACAATTACACTCGTTACTTAACTGTAAGTGCAATAAAAGCTTTGTGAGTAAAAAGCAAGTAAGAGTAATTTAATCTACGCAAAATATGGACAGACGACAAGGCAGGGGGCTTTAAAATCACAGTGTTACGATGGTAGAGGCTCAGTGGTCGATGACTGTCAGCCATCAGCGATGGACCACGGCATCGCCCATCAGCCTGATCCTACTTAGTATTTCATATTAAAATTCAACAGCATACATACTGCACTCAAAAATGACAGTAAAATGGAGTCATTGCCACTCAAAATAGTTTGAACAAAAAACATCATAACCTACATGGAGATAGAAATTATTAAAGGGCTATTGTATTTACATTAAATCAGTTTTAGCTTGGTGTATTCAATAAACGAGGAACTAGTAGTTATTAAGTTTTTAATATTCTGTCCTGTCAATGGATAATGGCACTTTTTAGTTGCAGTACTGCTTCAACACACTTCACAAGAAAAATTGGTTTTTACAAATTTTCTATATGTTATTTTTACTTCTGGGTTTATTCACGTGTACAACTTGTGATGGGCACATTTTACTTTTTCTACAGGCTTCTCTTGGCAGTTCTGCATTTCAACAGCAATGGCAGCAGAGAAGTTGCTCGAACCAGTGATGGTGAGGTATGTTATGTGGTTCACTACCTAAGGTTCTGTAAAGGTGGCTGGGTAGTCCATCCTGTCAAGGAGAAGCCATCATACGGTTAGCAGTTTCAGTCAGTCCCTAAATATTATTTATTATGTGAGTCAGTCCGAGTCAACAGTAATGACAATGACTGCGATGTAAACATTTGTTTCCTTTCTCTAGCATATGCATCAGCCCTCATCGAGTCTCTGAGAGTGGGATACTCCAGATCACCACAGGCTCTACGAGAGTATAGTGCTGTCTTGTCTTCCACTACACCTGCCCCGCTTTCCAGATCCTTCCAGAAGATCAACAAGGATGAGGCAGTTGGCCTGTATCTTGCACGGCATTCACGATTAAACACAGGACATTAGTGTAGCACAGGTGTTCTGGTTTGAATGACTCATTCTTTGCTTCGTTTTTCAAGTTTTCTCAGTGTTGCAAGAAAGCATTTTTGACCTTTTTTACTGTTTATTTATGCTTATTATGCTTATTATACTCAAATACACATATCTCATGACTTTCTATATGTGTATTTTGATGTAGATCCAAATGCACATTAAAACATTTTCTATAAATTAAATATCTAATTGAGAAGTGAGACAGCTTTTGTTGGAAGTATGCACTCTGAGTGCTTTCTAGTTTTAAATGGGTCAGTTGACATATTTTTCTTTCAATGATATACATTTGGTACATCCATGTACATATGTGACCAGCCATGGAAAAACCAGGAACAAGTCTCCCGAGAGGCATTTTGAGTTATTTACAGATTCTGAAAGTGTAGTTTTCTAACGATGTCTAACACATGGAAATCTGAAAAGATTTGAAGAAGTTGTGGCCATTTGAATGCAGACACTCCTTGAACTACTTTACTGAGAAATCCAGCCTGAACGATTTTGAATTCACAAGTGCCAGGTAACACAATGCTGCTCATTTGCATCTCATGTAGATAAACCCTACCCCCTACTGGTCTAGCTGTCAGTGACATCTGGTATCTGTTAGCCTGCAGGGCAGAAACTATTGTAGTAGTTTGAACAATGTAGTTAATGTTGATGTAGTTATTTTCCTTAAGCACTTTAGTGGACTGATCAGAATCAGAATGTACTTTATTGAAATGGAAATGCTTTTGTTACAAAAAGCTCCTGAATAAAGTTGATCATTGGGGGTGTACTATTCTGTATACAAACTTGTGTTTTGTGTTCCTCTGTGTGTGCATATGTACGTTTAATCCACAGTAAATGCCCTAAAACTCAAAAATACACGATCGGCCATCCGGTCAAAGTACACACATTAAACAGAATTTTAAACGTAGGTCTTGGGTCAGGGTGGTTTGGATCCCGTAGAAAGTGGGACTTACCGGCGCGGGCCCAAGCACTGGGCCCGTTGAGATGAATGGGTGTCCGCTGTCCACAGCTGCAGTCAGTCCGGTGTCCAGAAAACAGCACAGAAGGTGTAAAAATGGGTTCTGGGGTGTTCACAGGGTCTTTCCCTCTCAGGCGGGCAGTATTGTTGTGGTCGATCCGGTTGTAGAATGGAGAAAAAACTAGTATATTGCTAAAAGTTAGCGAAACGCTAAAGTAGTTTGGTGTGGCTGTGTCGGCACCAGTCACAGGTCAAAGACACGAGATCAGCCATCCACCATCCGGGCCAACGTACAGACTTTAAGACAAATAAAATCTTAAAAGTAGTAGATTAATTAATCAATGAACACCGAGCAGATATTTCCCTCAGAATCTAACGGTTTAGCTAGCTTGCTAATCGTCAACAAACGAGTTGTTGATGTTATAAAAGGTCCAGAAATACTGACGAAGTGTTTAAATCCTCGTAGCAGTTCCTTATGCAGGAGCGGCTGGCTGCATAAGTAGCCATGTGGTTCAGCTGATTGGCCGAAAAAAGAACAAAAGCACGTGAATAGCCAAAGAAAGCCAGTATGCAAATTTACTGTTGTTATCGCCGCACCCCCAACTAGGATCAGAGCATTTCCTCTAAAACAATACAAATTCAAATACAAATGGTTTTAAGGCCACCAATACTATTATTTGAAACATGGAGTGGCTTCTTCATGATTTCAACTTACACATTATGCAGAAAACCGAAAATCACTCATTTTTAAAAAAAAAAAAATCGAATTTTTTTTTTTTCCAACTTGTGCCGGGCCGACTTGTTGCTGGATTTCTCGTGGCGGGCCACATATTTTAAAAAGTTCAAATTTTGGTGTTTTGGTTGTTTCTGTTTCATATTTTTATTGATGTGTATACAAGAATAACAAAGGCACTTACATATATCAGGGCACATTGGTGTCAGCATTCGACATGTTTGTATACACCATTAGATTTAGATTAACATATTTTTAAGAACAAACAATGATTACAAAAAATAGAACCAGATAGACAATACAATGAAAAAAGTATTTAGACATAGTCTGTATAAAATGATTAAATTGGTCCCATAAACATAAGAATAAATAAAAAAAAAAGTGTGTGTGTGTGTGTGTGTGTGTGTGTGTGTGGGGGGGGGGGTTACATCCATAAACGGTTGCCACTTATCGTATCGAATATCTAATTTTCTCTACTTTTAAAAAGGACATAACCTCCTTCATCCGCTGTGTGCTGGAAGGAGCTGTTGTGGATTTCCAGTTAAGAAGGAGGTGGCGTTTAGCAATCACGGAGGTAAAAGCTATTACTTCCAATTCTTTAGTAGAGTATTGGCTATACTCTTCCGGAAGACCAAAAATGCAAATGTGTGGTGAAGTGTCAATAGTTTTTGAGAATACCTTGGACATGGTGCTGAAGTACATTTGCCAAAAATGTGTCAGGGCTTGACATGAGAAAAGCATATGCGTAAGATTGCAGGGTGAGCCTCTACATCTGTTACAAACATCTACCGTATTTGGGAAAATCTGTGCCAACCTTGTCTTCAAATAATGACATCTAAATAAAACTTTAAATTGTACCAACGGCAAACGGGCACAAATAGAAGTTTTGTGAATGACCTTCAGTGCAGATTCCCACCAATACTCATCAAAAACCAATCCCAGTTCACGCTCCCCCTCTTGTGTTGGTGGTCAAATGGCCATCATATGACTGAATAGAACTATAGATTTTTGAGATTAAAGACCTTTGTAGAGGATTGAATTGTAAAAGTTCACCCCATGGCTGCTTAGGTGGAAGGTGAGGGAAGTTGGAGAATAAAGATTTTGCACAGTTCCTCACCTGGAAATATCTAAAGAACAAAATACCCCTTCCTTATAGAAATCCTTAAAACATTTCAGTCCCTTATCCTGCCATAAGGAGAAAGTGAGATCGGTAAATGTGGGTTTAAACACAGGATTTTTAAAAGTGGGCGCCGTAAATTTAAAGTGTTTCCTAAATTGAAACCATATCTTAAGCGTAGCAGTAACCACAGGGTTGCAGGTAAGGCCAGAGAGGTTTGCGGTGACTGGACCAGTTAATAAAGCAGAAAGAGAGGCTGGGCGGCACAACTGTGCTTCCAGTTGACACCAAGGTACACTAGTTGACATGGACCAGAATATAATTTTAGTTATGTTCGCGGCCCAGTAGTAAAATTGAAAATTTGGCAGAGAGAGGCCGCCATAGAACTTACAATTCTGAAGTACTTTTTGTCTAACTCTGGGTGTTTTGCCATTCCACAAAAAATGGCAAATAGTCGAGTCTACTGTTTTAAAAAAACTTTTTGGTAAAAATATAGGCAGACATTGAAACAGAAATAGAAACTTTGGCAGGACATTCATCGTGATTGTATTTATTCTCCCAATCAAAGAGAGAGGGAGGGAACTCCACTTTTGAAAATCTGCCTTAATTTCAGTTAAAAGGGGAAAGAAATTTTCAGAGTGAAGAGATTTAAAAGATCTGGCTATGTTAACCCCAAGATACCTAAATCCTGAAGGGCTCAATTTGAAAGGAATGTCAGACTGGGAGAGTTGCATTGCTAGTTTATTGACAGGATAACATTCACTCTTGGCAACATTAACTTTATACCCTGAGAACCAGCCGAATCTACAAAAGAGTGAAACAATGGTGGGGCAGACTCTTACTTGATTTGCGACATATAGCAATAAGTCATCGGCATATAACAATAGTTTGAATTCTGTATGAGTCCTGGTGATGCCATTAAAAGTGAGAGAAGTCCTCAAATAAATAGACAGGGACTCTTTTGCGAGTGCAAACAATAGGGGAGACAGGGGGCAGCCCTGTCTATAACCTCTATTTGAAAAAAAAAAAAAAAAAAAAATAGCCGGATTGAATGTTATTAGTGGTGATACTGGCACAAGGGAGTGTATAAAGAAGGTGTATCCACGATATAAAGCTTTCACCAAATCCGAATTTAGCTAAGACCGCAAATAGATAATTCCATTCAACTCGATCAAACGCCTTTTCGGCGTCAATCGATATCACTACTTCAGGTGTAACTGTTGTTTCTTTCGAGTAGATTACATTTAGCAAAGTACGAACATTATAATAGAGCTGACGCTCCTTTATAAAGCCAGTCTGTTCCAAGGCGAGCCAAGGCCTTTGCCAGAATCTTTGTATCTACGTTCATTAAAGAGATTGGCCTATAGGAGATGCAAAGATCCGGATCTTTGTCCTTTAAAAGAACACTAATAGAGGCTTGTCTCAATGTAGGAGGGAGATAACCAAGTGACAGAGATTCCACATAAACAGAATGAAGTAATGGAATAAGTTTGTAATGAAAAGGTTTAGGTCCCAGGGCTTTATTATGTTGCATGTTTTGTAAAGCTGAATTTAGTTCTTGAAAGGTCAGAGCAGAGTCTAATTGATTAACAAACTCTGGATTTATGGAAGGAAACTGAAGTTCATCTAAGAATGTGTGCATATCAGCTAGATCTGATGAGAGTTCAGACGCGTACAGGGATTCATAAAAAGATGAAAAGACAGAGTTAATAGCATCCAGGTCTTCCTGCAACGCTCCCGATCCATCCTTAATGTGTGGTATTAAACGTGAGGCTGCTTGACAATGCAACTGGTGAGCTAGCAATCTACCAGACTTGTCGCCATGTTTGTAGTATCTAGAACAGGAGTGAAGTAACAAGTGCTCTGTCTCATTAGTTGTGATAAGATCCAGCTCAGTTTGCCACGCGATGCAGCAAAAGATTGTCAGATGGGGTGGTCGCAAGCTGTTGGTCCACTGATTCTAAATCAGATGATAGCTGTTGAATAGTTGACATCCTTAATTTTCTTATATGTGCAGAGTATGAAATTATCTGACCTCACAAATATGCTTTTAAGGACTCCCACAATAGCGCCTTAGAGATAGGTTCTGAATCAGAGTGGTTAAGAGCAATAAAATCCTCTATTGCATTTGTAATAAATTTATGAAATTTGTCATCCGATAAAAGTGAGGTGTTGAATCGCCAATGGGTGGGATAGCGATGTCCCTGAGCTGGCGTCGGATGTCATTGAAAGCTGCACGGGCTTTGGCTGTCCTTGCAGTGAGATCCGGGAAAATGGAGATTGTTGAATTTTTCACCTTGATTCGCTGCTGGGCTCTGGCACGTCGTAGGATATCAACACAGTCTGCATAATAGTGTAAACGTGCTATTATGGGACGAGGACGTTGGCCGGGTTTCGGCTTGGGTTGTAGAGATCGATGCGCACGGTCAACAACTGGCTCTTTTCCTAAGCCGAGAGCGTCTTTAAGCAGGGTGGAAACTGTGGCCACGTCGAGTGTGCCATGCTCCTCGGGTAGACCTATTAACCGGATGTTGTTACGGCGAGACCTCGCCTCCAAATCTTCACACTTACTATCAAGAGTAACAAGTTGGGCCGAAAGTTTGTCCACTTTACTTTTGAGTGAAACCACATCGTCAGTGTATGTCGGCAGTGAGCCCTCCATGTCATTCAGTCACCTTTAGTACATCCACCTCCGACCTGATAGCTGCCATGTCAGCATTTAGTTCCGTCTTCACGCTTTGCAGCTCGGACTTTATCTGGGTCAAGTTGTTTGTCATTGCCGACTCTAATTCAGTCTTGAAAACGCCTACCATCTCTTCTCGAAGAGCAGCGAGCAGTTCAGCCTTAAAGTCCGCAGAAGTCATGCTCGGGACGGCGGCAGTTTCCTCTGGAAGGGGCGCCCCAGCAGCTGCACTCTGCGGCGGGGTGGTCGCAACACTCCGTGGCGGGGATGCAGGCAGGGGGGCAGGCCTCGTTAGCGTAGCCGCCGGGTTGTTCGTACTTTTTGGTTGACGTGTCGACATGTAATGCAGTCACAACGAGCTTGTGGAGTCAAAATGTAATAATAGAAAGTTCATGAAAAAGCCCTAATGTTCATTCAAGAGAGTTTTGCACACAGACAAGTCTTACTCCATTAGTTGCTAAGCCCCTCCCTCGGTGTTTTGGTTGTTTTACAGAATGTGCCTTATTTTCTTATCTGCAATTCATGAACAAATAAATACATTAATATAAATACATTGATAGTTTATATATCTCTCTATATATTTATCTATATCTGTATATAGCCTAGATAGATCGATATAGGACATGTTTGTTATTAACCTTAGGCTGCTGTGCATGCAGGCCAAATCATTAATGCAGATCTGTTTGATGATCCAAATTTCATAAAAGTTTTTGTACAGTAAGACACTTTGTGATTGTGTTTTTTTTTTTTTTTTCATTGATTGTCACCCAAATGAGGTCATTCAAAGCCTTTGTATATTCCTCCTTCCTCTGGAAACTGTCTTCTGATGGCAGACACAACACAGGAAGGTTAGGGCTTTCTTATGTGTCTGCCCAGAATGCCATAGGCCCAGCGGACAACTTGCCTGTATGCTGTATAGCGGTATTGCCTGGGGATAGGGACACAATATCAATATTGATGTCTTATTATTAATGTCATCAAAAAGTGTAATACAGGTAATGATGACCTAAATATGGGCAACTTGTAACAGAGAAACAAAATTATTCAGATTGTTTTAATATTATCTCCAATTTGCACATCTACATATAAATACTTAGCTGTACTGTTTACTATTATTATTCTATTTCAAATAGGTAAAGTCAATTTAACATAAAAGGTCAAGTATATGATTTAAAAGCAATGACTTCAAGGTTTAGAAATCTGCTGAACACTCAGCATCAATAGCTACTTCGTTATCTTGGTCCACAAGGGTTTTATTCTAATTGTATAGAAAATCAGACAATTGAAAGAACTCAACAAAGTTAATAGATTATTTTTGCCCTAAACATAAGATAAAGATAAGATAAGATACACCTTTATTGATCCCACAATTGAGAAATTCCAGTGTTACAGCAGTCAAGGGTAAAGAGTCAAATTAAAGATTTCAATATTTAAAAAACTTAAAAAACTAGGCATGCAGAAAAAAGTACAAAAAATACAAGAAACAGCAATATATGATAATAATAATAATAATAATAATAATAATAATGATAATAATAAC